TGATCAGTGTATAACCACCACCACCACCCCCAGGGGACAAACAACAGAAACGTGGGTGAAGGGAGATAGCGGATAGTGTAAGATATGAAAATCATTTATCATTTATCAGGGGTTCTCGAGGGTAGGAGGTTGGGGGAGGGAGGGAGAAAAGAGGAGCTGATACCAAGGGCTCAACCAGAAAATGCTTTGAAAATGATGATGGCAACAGATGTACAAATGTGTTTGATACAATTGATGGATGGGTTGTGATAAGAGCTGTAAGAGCCCCCAGTAAAATGATTTATTAATTTAAAAAAAAAAAAAGGAAGTTTCCTTGGGAGTGTGGCCTCCCTCCACTAGAAGGATGCTGTGGCAATGCTTGTTTTGTTTTTGCCTGAGTTTGGATCCTTCATCTGGCTCACTGACCTCCAGTTCTTTGAACCTGAGCCAAAAGCCTACCATATTGCCTGCTGATTCTGGGAGGTCAGTGGTCTGCCCTCTGACCTGACAACCTTGGATTCACTGGAATCTGCCATCGCAAGGCTGACCTGCTGACCTTAAGATTCAGCTGTCAGCCTATTGTCTTCCTGCCGATCTTGAGTTCATGAGCTCCCAGAGGTTTGTGAGTCCAAAGACTCCAACTTACTATCCAGCCCACGGACCTGGAATATGTCTGGACTTGGTCTCACCTACATATATACATATACATATAGCTTTATATATAATGGAATATACATCTATGTATAAGATATATTTATATAAATGTATATATGTAAAACCCGTAATATAGAGAACCCAGCCTAAAACAAGTGCTAACTGCAAGGTCAGGTTCAAAACCACCAGACATTGTTGGTGGTTTATAATATTCTCAGTTATAATTCTTTATAATATTCTCAGTTAAATTGATTCTCCCTTTAGTACTTTCTAATTTAACCTATATTTATGTGGAAACAAAGGAAACACTACCATTTTATTCTATGTCTTTTCTGTGTTCAATCAAATTTCATTTCATTTCTTCCTGAGTCAAAACTCAGGGGCACTTCAGCTTAGTTTTTTGTCTGCTTGTTAGTTTATGATTCAAGTTATATTTCATGTCCCAATGTTTGTTTGAAGATATTTAATCCAAGTCAGTGTGCTATCTTACAGTTTTATTTTGCATCATAATTATTCAGAGAATATTTTTCATCAACGATCTTGATTCTCTTTTGTATTTTGGTCTTAGATTCATTAGGAAGAAGACTAGTACACAAGTATGCATTTTGTGGATGAGTTGATGAAAGGGGTGGTGTACACAATTCTCCAGCTCAAGAGCACCCTCTCCTGTTAGAGTAGTAGAGTGCAGTTGCCTTAAAATTTGGCTTTGGGGGAAGGGCTGGGCCAGAGTCATACAGACTTCAATTTTTGGTTTTCATTTGTCTTAAGATATTTGGGGTTTCCCACCTTGTTTCTCTTCCCCTTCCCCCAAAAGGCCTATCCTTTCCTTGAGCCCCTGCTCATCACAGAAGCTCTGATTTTCCAGGACTGCTACCTGTATACTTTTGAATCCTCAGTGCTCCGATCTACCAAAATTATGTTTTGATATTTCCACAGGAAGGATGCAGTTTCTCTTTCCGAGGGTGATTTTTCCCCCAATCCCCTCCTGTCTTTTCCACAAAGGTTCCCCAGGAAACCAAACTGCCACAAAGGAGATAGTTCTCTTAAAATTTTATGTTTATTTCTTCACTTACAATAATTGGAGTTTATACTGTCCTCTGCCTTATAGTTATGTTGAATGTCAAGGATTTATGTGGTTGAATTTGCTTCTCATTGATCTCTACATTTGGGGGAGGATTTAGGAGAAACCGAAATGTAGGTATCCACCTTTAGCTATCTGAACAGCCCTCACTTATGCTTAGCCAGATATTTCATCCTTATATCTGAACTTCAATTTTCTGGTTTTACCATTTTGCTCTCGTTTTCCTCCACTGTGATTAATATTACTGTGCTCCATCATATCCGCTCAGCAGAGAACACGCATCTATTCTCCTAGTTGCTGGGCATCGTGGTGCCTAGTTGCTGGGCATCGTGCTCACAGCTGAGCCCTTCGATGGACATCAACTTTGTCCTTAGACACTGAGAAGAGCCCCTGTCAGAGCAACATGAATTCTGCTAGAGTTGAAAGGGGAGCAAATATCAAATTCATAGTGAAGCCTGACTGGAAGAATATGAAATTGATGCCTCCACGTAAATCAGCAACTTTTAAATGAATAACTCATGTTACAGAGAGGGAAAATGATCTTCAAGATGAAGCCCAAGGCAAAAATTCATCAATTTGCAAAACTACAATAATAATAATCATGTTTGTACACAAGGACCAGCAGCAGAAATATTAGCTAACACTGCAGACATCCAAATTGATGCCATTTATACCATTCTTACTTAATGTCTACCAAAACAGCTGGGCCCAGATCCGCTGCAGGCAAGAACAGAGCTTTCAGTGGAGATTTATAGCCGGTGATATTCAGATCCTAAAGCATTTCATTGAAGAATTGTACCGGGAGATGAAACACAGCGTTACCAGAGCAATTCTGAAGCCTAAGCATGATCAAAGCCCTGGCTACCACGAAGTGGTCCAGCAAAAGCTGACCAATCAAGAGCAAACAACATGGCAAAGATCCCGCTCAAGGCACTTTGCTTGCTGACTTTTTAGAGCGACGGTTCTCAACCTGTGGGCCGCGACCCCTTTCGAGTGGAATGAGTCTTTCACAGGGGTCGCCTAAGGCCATCGGAAAACACATATTTCCGATGGTCTTAGGAATGGAGACACCATGGAGACACGGCTCCTCTATCTTCAGGTGGGTCCACCCACATACAGTACCCAGCGTGAAGACTGTTACCCATGCTATACCATGCTTCAAGACAAAATTTCATTTACTTGTAATTAGAAATCAATATTTCACAATATATAACTACATATTATTTTTGTGATTAATCATTATGTTTTAATAATGTTCAATTTGTAATAATGAAAATATATCCTGCATATCACATATTTACATGATGATTCATAACAGTAGCAAAATTACAGTTATGAAGTAGCAATGAAAATAATTTTATGGTTGGTGGGTCACCACAACATGAAGAATTATATATTAAAGGGTCACAGCATTAGGAAGGTTGAGAACCACTGTTTTAGAGTGTCAAACAATAATGTCTGATTATTATGAGAGTTTTGAGAAAGTTAGCCAAAGTTTTAGCAGAAAAAGTTTCAGGATACTAAATTCTTTAAGGGATGGCTAAAAGGCTGATATCATTGCTTGCCAAACGGTCTTGTCCTTCTTAAAGGTTTGAAGTGTCAGCTAAATCTGCACAGAAGGAGCACACCAGCTCAAGTGAGCTGGAGATTTTAAATAATAAAATCCAAGATCAGAGGAGGAAAATGTATTCAAGCTTAAATTCTGAGCACCTGGTTTGCAGAAGGCTTTGTATGACAATGAAATCCCACAATCCATTGCAGAGTCCCTATGTGATTTACGCCTCTATTGAATTCCTTTGGACCACTGAGTAGGGAGGTAAACAGTCTTGCCCTCAGACAAAGTGCATTAGGAAGTGGATTGCTGCAGATATCAGACTCACTGCCACTGGATAGCCTGAAGAGTGGAGTGGAGCTGTCCGTTTGGGTTTCCAAGAGTGAATGTTTGCGGGAGTACAGGGCCTCATCTTCCTCGCACAGAGCAGCTGGTGGGTTTCAGGAACTAACCGTGGAGTTGGCGGTTTAGCACATGGTCCAGGAGACCACCAGGGCTCTTACTGCAGATATTGTTTCAATTTTAACAGCTTATCATTCATTTTTCCCTTATGACCCACTTTCGATTTGTTCTAGTAATTATTTTCTGCTTTCTTCCGGATGAATGTTTTTCGGTTTTATTTCATTGTTGTTGGAGGGGATGATTTTCTTTGTATGAAATCGCACAGAATAAGTAAATCTGTAGATATAGTAACTAGATTAACAGTTTCCTAGGGCTAAGGCAGGGGAGACTGGGGGAATGGGGAGCTAATAATAATGGCTACGTGAATGAAGAAAATGTTCTAAAATGATTGTGGTGATAACTGCAAAACACTTTTTAATCGATATAAACCAATGGTATGTGAATTATATGACAAGTGTCTTGATCTTGATGGAGCTTATGCGGAGAAATAAAGTACATTGGTATAGAGATATCGATACACACAGAGAGAGATATAATCCTTCGATTACATTTTTCCATGAACTTTTTGAAACCCTCGAATGGGCTGAGTGCATTCCTCAGTGGACATTTTGCCAATAATTTCCTGCCTCGGGGCTTGCTTTCAGTGCATCTATTCTAAGACCATTGTCATAGACAATATTTATTATAAGACCAGCACTATTGTGTTTTTTTGTACATTTTATACATTCACTTAATTCTCATAGGAGGCTAGGAAGAAGATACTATTATTAGTATCTTCATTATTAGAGAAAAGAAAATCAAAAAAGATAGGCACCTTGCCTAAACTAATAAATCAAAAAGGTGGGATTTGGATGCAAGCACTCTGACCCCCAAGTACAAACTCTTGTTCACTTGGGCAGGCAGCCTCCCACACAGCCATACAGTCTCGGTCTCACCAGTGCCACCCTGCGCCTGCCCTTTCTTTGCATTTTTATGACCTTCTCTGAAGCATAATTAGTTTATGACACACACCAAAATAATTACAAGTGTTAAGACTTTTTCTTTAATTAACACATAATACTGCCATTAGTGGATTGACCATAATGTGAGTTGCTAAAAATGAAACTGGATCTTATGGATTTGTCTTTCGAAGCTTTAGCATGGAGAAAGGCCAGATATGCTTGTAAATCTACCTATGATCACACAGTCTTACCATAGAATTGCTTTTATATGTACACATACCTTGTAAAAAGATAAGTACAGATTATCGATCACTTCGCTTTGGGTTCATTTCTTTTCCTTACTTCCAAGTGATAGCATAAAGATTATATAAGTTTAAACAAAAATTCTTACCTCCATCCTGAAATTTGCTTAATCTTTCAAAATACGATGACATGGGAGCTTGTACAATATCTAAGATTGCCAGAAGGGTTCTTGTCAGCCTTAATAACTCACTAAAGCTATAAAATCCAAAGTATATAAGATTCCGAGCCAAATGGACCACCTTAATTTGAAAAGAGAGGGAAAAAAGGAGGAGTGAAAAAGAGGAACTTTGAGAACATCAAAAGACATCCTTTTCTATTCAATTAATTGACCTGTCACCAAACTTCATAAATCTTTAACATCTAAAGTTTTAAATACCTGTGAAAGTATCTTGAATTTCAATTTATTCAAATTTAGAACTAAATCCAAATCAGACCAGTTAATCAACCCCATCAAGAAGATAAAATTTGGATATATTTAGTTGGCTAAAGAAATTTATGTTTGAATTGTTTGCCTCCTAATTAAAATATTACATCACTAAATGTGAGTATATCAGCTAATAAATGAGACATCAATTAATTACTTAATAAATTATCATTATCTATGAAATTTGTCCAGAAATACATGTTATATCTTCTACTTCCAATGTGGTCTTCCGAATATTATAGACATAGCGTGAAAGCCAGCCTCCAAGATGGTCAGGGATGCCTAGTCTCCTTCCAAACAGTGCCAGAGTTGGACCATGTGACCATTAGAATACAGCAGAACTGATCTCATGTCACTTCCAAGAAAAGGTTATAAAAGACTAACTTCCATCTTGTGCTCTCTTTTCCAGATAACCCATGTTGAGGGAAGCCAGGTGGCATCAATGGGAACAGCTGGGAGCCTATAGACAGGTCCACATGGAAGAAGCTAAGGTGCCTGCTCATCAGTTAACAAGGAAGACCACAAACCAGCATGTGAGTGAGCTTAGAATGAAATAATCTATTCTTAGATGACCGCAGCCACAATCAATAGTTTGATCCCAAACTCATATAATGTCCTGAGACCCCCGACTAAGCCTACAAGGATCTATGATCATAGAAACCACAAGATAATCAATGTTGGTGTTGGTCTATGTTCTAATTGCTGGAATAATTTGTTCCACAGTAGTAGAAAGCTAAAATAATAGGGACATGTAACAATATATTATTCTTCATAACAATATTCCCCAAATATTACAACTTGAAATTATTTCAGTTCAGTTTAATGAGACTTTCTAAAAGCATCAGCTACAGAGATTTTTTAAAAGTATATCCAAATATATTATATAATATACAAAAATGTCTTTGTTCACTAAATGCAATAAAACTTACATATAAAGAATAAAACTTGTATGAGCCCCTAATAAAATGATGGGGAAAAAAGTAAATGCTTAGAAAATAATGATGGCAACATAGGTACAAATATGCTTGATACAATTGATGTATACCTTATTATGAGCTGTAAGAGTCCCCAATAAAATTATCTTTTAATAAAAATATTTTTTAAAACTTGGAAAAAAAAGAATAAAACACGTGGTAGTTATTGTACAACACTGCTTGATATGACTAAACTATGGAATGATATTATGTATGGATTAGGTCCTAAAGAAATGGTTTAAAAGTTAAATTAATTTTTTTAATCAAGAAAGAGTATTGAACATCAAGTATAATCAAAGACCATCTAAGTCTATATTTTGTCAATGGCAGAGAGAATTATCCCTGCATTCACTAAGCTACTCAATTACCAAGCATCCTAAACATTAGGAGAAAATAGTCGATGTTCAATATGTTTTATTTTATAAGGAAATGTTAAGAAGTTCACAAATTAACTGGTTTTTAAAAATTACCTCAAATGTCAACTTGTTTTTTTCTTTATCCCCAAAAGGAAAGGGTTGATTTACAACTTCTTTCAGGTATTCTTCAACAAATTCCATCGTCAATGCAAACTTCCTCTTCATGTCATTTCTTGATGAGTCTGTTATAGAATCGTATCTGGGAAGAATGAAAGATGATAAGGCAAGTGAAATGGGGTGTGACCATTTAACAACATGAAAATACACAGACTCCATGAATGTCCTGACTTCATACTCTCAGGTAAATTATCTAACCTTCCCAGGTAGTGTCTCTCAACTGCAGCACAGGGCTATTGCAGGATGAATTCATCCGTGCAATGCACTGACATCCGCGTCTGATTATGGCGGATGTCCTCCCTACTCTTAGTATGAAGAATATTTCTGGTTACTGGTTTTGAGAGACTCCACTCTCCTGAAGAGTTGCCTTTTTACACAGCGAGCACTGCTTTCGCTTCCCCCACCTCTAGAAGACAAACAACCCGGTGAAAGCACAGAAATGCCTTCCCCACATTCATTTTCACATAGAAGGCATTTGTTGGCTTTTGAGTTCATCTGCCAAGTTCAAAGGCCTCCAGAACGTTTTCCGGACATACTCATGAATCGTGATCTTCGTTGGGATTTCTGTCCAGAGTCTGGCATAGCGAACAGGCACCACAGACTCTTGGGGATCTCGGTCCACGTGCATGTGGAGCATGAGGCGACAGAAAGATGCCCGGAGGTCAAACGGCAGGCTCTCGTCCGAGACACACCGCAGGATCAAGTCTACAGACAGCTGTGTAGAGATCTGGTTTATGGCCAGATACTGGCGATCCAAGCACATTCTTGCAAAGAGGTTTAGCTGGTACCTTAAAAAATATCAAACACACTGCTTTATTCGCCTTATCATGAAGTTCCAACACCTAATATTACAGATCAGGATCTACTTGGATAATAGCAGTATTTCAAGGCTATCGGGGATCGGAGTAGATCTCTTCTGGTAGTGAGTTTTCAAATGACAACCCCTATATGAAATTGATCCTATGTTAGTTCGATGACAATTTCTCTTGCTTGTTCCAATAATCTGGGTCTTGTCGGATCGCATTTCTCAGGCTCCTAGGACAAAAATACACTAGTCCTGAAGGCTACAGGTAGCAGATCACAGGACGCTAGCCCTCCCTGTCTGTCTTCTCCAACCCCACTCAGCCACAAGCTCTCATGTCTGTACAGTACATTTAGTCCGTCTCAATTCCTACATCAAATATAACCGAGATGAGTGGCATTAGTACACGTGGATTCATGAACCACTGAGGTCAAGAATTAGTTTGGTCTTTATGGAACAGGTCAAAAGACTAGGGAGAATCAGGCATTCTCTTCCTTTCTATGATTCCTGGCATTTGGATCCACCATGTCCAAAGGGCTTTTACCTTGACTTCCCTTGCCTGAAACTAAAAGATGTTACCTTGGTGGCATAGTGGGTTGAGCATTGGAGTGAAAAACCACAAGGTCAGCAGTTCAAAACCACAAGCCAATCCACGAAAGAAAAAATGAGGTTTTCTACTCCTATAAACAGTTACAGTCTCAGAACCCCACAGGGGAGGAGTACTAGTCCGATCCATAGGGTCGATATGAGTCAGAATTGACTCAATAACTATGAGTTTGGGTTTTGAGTTTGCATCCTGCTCCCAAGATATTGAACACCCAGGAACTTCAGTGTCATTGCCATTGATACTTCTGTGGCCATAAGCCACTGCTGAACCCATATAATCACCGATGCCGGTTTCCCTAGAGCCCTATGTCAATACACATTCTGATGTACTAGCTGCCAACTATTGCCTAACTTCCTCAGATGTCACCTCTGCAGCCAGATACATTTCACCAGCACCAGCTTTCTCTCTCTCTCATTCCCTGTCACGTGGGTCCCAAGATCCGTGGCGCATACATACACTCCAAACAATACCATAAATGAAATCCTTGCTGCACAAAAATCCCAAAATACTATTTCATCATAAAATGACCAGTGGTGTGTGTGAAAAATACAGGTGCCAACTTTGGAATGTTTCACAGCTGCGTTACCTTTCCTCTTCCTAGTGTTTGGAGAATAATCCTTTTGTGCGATTTAGAATTATGAGTCTCTACGATACTTCACCTGTAATAGGTCAGAACTTCCAAGTCAGCTTTGGTGCCTTCCTTTGCCTCCTGAGCAAGGTGCCTGATCGCTTTGCCATGAGGTTCTTTGTTGCTATCAATCCAGTAGAGCCAAACTTCTTCATCATCCATCTCATCTGAAAGGATGGAGCTGTCCACGGGGTGGTCTACTTGCATTGAGACAACCCTTGAAGTAAATAACATGCATGAAGGCCTTTAAGAAACTCACAGATAGGATCTGAAAACTAATAGAAGCCTCATGCCTCCATATGATGAACAGACAAAGCAGTCCCTGTCATCTGAGCTTACTTTGTTTGGATGAGAATGTCCGCATTCCCAGGACTCAGCATAAATTTACAGATAAGTTCTTGAGTGACAGGTATGGCAGTGGTATTAGACACACAGAGATCTGATAAATAATCCAAAAATCTGAGGAGAGAAAAAAATGTAAATTGAACACAGAGCATAGCATTTGATAGTCCTAAGAGTAAGAATATAATTTGAGATATAATTTTATTTATAATTACTTCACAGATATTCTGCTCTTTGTTTATATATAGTGTTATGCTATTTTGTTTATACATATAATCTTTACTTCCAGGAAAATCTTTCAAACCATTATCTATCTATCCAAAGTTCAATTGTTCGTACTGAATACAAACGCTGTTCAAAGGCTGTGCCCTCATTTCTATTTATCTGGTGATGGGCGGTCCACCGCACTGTGGCTCAGCAAGACTGGGGAGTACTCCTGTGCCCCCCAGTTAGAGTGCTCCCAAACGGGACATCCAAACCAGGTGGACCCGCGTGGGTGCTGGAGCATGTCTTATAAGGTAAGCACACACTTAAAAGAGGAAGTACGGCCCCCTCTAGTTACAGGCCTGCTTTTACCTTTTAACACATATTTCCCGTACGAATTATTTACGAAAACCTAACTGCTTGATTTTCCTGCAATCGTTGATCACCCGCTAAGGCAGTAGGGTACAACCGAAAGTGAAGTCGGGGTAGAATCAGAAAGCATCCATTTGGCGTCCTGTTTTGGTCCTTTCTGTCAGGGTGACCCAAGGCCAAGGGCTCCCGGAGCTTCTGTGTTCTCATTTCTAAACTGAAAGTAGTAATATATGCCCAGTCTACTTCATGAGAACACGTGCGGATTTAAATGAAACATGTATATGCCTATTTTTAAGTCTGCAACATACTATAAAAACATAAGTTAGAGAAAAATCAATGATGACTAAGATACATAAAAAAGTATGATACACAATCATAGAAAGTTTTAACAAAAATATTAAAATATGAAGCTATTATTTCCCAACATAGCTTCCAGCTAGGACTATACACTTTGGAAGGGGATGTTTCCATCTCTCTGACTCTTCCCTGAAGAATTCTGTGCGATTGGAGTCAAAGCCCAACAAACCAGCAGTTTTATCACTCTCAAAGGACTCAAATTTTGTTTAAATATTGTTTAAATATTCATTGAGTTTTAGAAACAAAAAGAACTTTAGAAAGACAAGATCAGGGTTGGAGGGTGGAAGAAATAAGGTTTCCTAATGAAATTCTCTTAGGACAACCCTGCTCTCCTCAAAGACAGAGCAGGTGCATGATTGAAATGGTAAAAAATAAATTCCTTGGTGCAATTTTCCTGGCCTTTCTCTCAATACATTGTTCCATTGTCTTAAAACACCCTCCTAATAAGCTCCCATGATGATCCTATATTCTCAGGGAAAATAAATCTACAAGATGACTCTTTGGGGATCGCAGAAAGCAGTCCCCACGACCTACTGAGCTGATCTCTGTCTTGAAGTCAACAGGCCCAGGAAAGCCCCTTGGCGGCCTTGGCTTTGATAGTACCTTTGTTAAGTGATCTGAGCAAAACTGGGGAAGTGCATTACTGAAACAGCTTGTCTGCAGCCATTCACTGATCATAGAGAATAAACAAATGCAGGCATGAACTGCAATCTGAGTAGCAATATGGCTTGACTTATACTCATATTCAAATATAAACCAATAGAAAACTTTGACCTCCTATGAGTTAATAACTTTTTATTATATACAATTATAACAATAAACCCAACATAGTTTTCCCCCAAAGTTAAGAAGATGAAAGAATTCTAACAATTAGAAGTTCTAAAGATAAATAAAAAAGCCATAATCCCCCCTAGAAAGAAATCTTTATAAATCACATCAAACCTCGGCTCCCGATTTCTCCTGAGTAAACTGACAAATGTTTCTATTTCTTTTGCTGTGATATGTTTCTCTAGTAGTTTTCTGTTGTTGTGCAACAAAGCTGTGATGGTATCTTCTGCCAAAATATCATAGCCAATCTGGGATTGCATGACACAGAAGTTCTTAGCAATATATTCCTGCAAAGAA